CGTGCCGGGGCCGCCAGCCTGGATGTCATCCAGGTGGGCAGGCACTCCTTATGAGCACACCTTCTAGGGTCTCATTTGTGAGGGTTGGATCTGGCTAAACTCCATCAAAGCAGTCAGAGTAGTGTTGAGGGACCACTTTGTGGGCACTGGGGGTTTTATCCAAAGCCTCAGTCTTTAGCAGGAGACATTCTTAGGGTGGCCAGCCCTTGATGACAATAGGCTTCTGGTCCCCTCCCAGCCAGGATTGGGGGGCCCAGGTTTTGTGGCAGGGCCACGGCTGGTGAGCCCATTCACAGGCCCACCTGACCTGGCCCCTGTGGTGGCAGGAGGTGGAATATGTGAAGGAAGAGGCCAAGATGGTATACCTGCTCGAGTGTCTACAGAAAACACCCCCACCCGTGAGTGCAGCCAGCCAGGCTGGCCCAGGACTCCTGGGATGAAGGGGAGGGGGCAGGGGGGGTGGCATGCTGGAGAAGGTTGGGCACGCCCATTTAGAGTCAGCCCCCATGACTGGAGTTGGTCCTCTGGACAGGTGCTCATCTTTGCGGAGAAGAAGGCAGATGTGGATGCCATCCATGAGTACTTGCTGCTCAAGGGGGTTGAGGCGGTGGCCATCCATGGGGGCAAAGGTCAGAGTTGTGCACACATAGGCATGGATTCTGCTGCCATCGCAGCCCCTCACCTAAACCCTGTCCCTGCCTGGTGGGCCTGCCACTACTTCCCACACTCCTGCTGTCACTCTGATGGCTTCTGCCTAACCCTTCCCAGACCAGGAGGAACGGACCAAGGCCATCGAAGCATTCCGGGAGGGCAAGAAGGATGTCCTGGTGGCCACAGATGTAGCTTCCAAGGGCCTGGATTTCCCTGCCATCCAGCACGTCATAAATTATGATATGCCTGAGGAGATCGAGAACTATGGTGAGGAGCTTGGGGGGTCAGGGGTGCGGGCTAGGCCCCAACCCATAGGCAGTGGGCTAGAGGATCTGTTCCCTGTCTCTGCAGTGCACCGTATCGGCCGTACCGGGCGCTCAGGAAACACAGGCATCGCCACGACCTTCATCAACAAGGCGTGTGGTAAGTCTGCCACCAGGGCCACCTCAGCTGTCCCCTGGGTCATCTGCATATGGCTACCCAGGTCCTGGCTACAGGGCCCAGGGTTGGTCCTAATGGTTCCATCCTTACCCCACAGATGAGTCGGTGCTGATGGACCTCAAAGCCCTGCTGCTAGAGGCTAAGCAGAAGGTACCACCCGTGCTGCAAGTGCTGCACTGCGGAGATGAGTCCATGCTGGACATCGGAGGTGACTGTGGAGCAGGAGGCACTAGTCCAGTGGGGGGCGGGAGGAGACATGACAGGAACACCACAAAACAAGTCCGTGCTGCACATCAGAAGACAGGGCCAGAGGGAGGTCCTGGGGGAGCCAAGGTCTGGGGTGCGGAGCCTGGCCCTGCAATCATGCTGACTCTCACCCCCATCCTTCCAGGAGAGCGTGGCTGTGCCTTCTGTGGCGGCCTGGGCCATCGAATCACGGACTGCCCCAAACTCGAGGCTATGCAGACCAAGCAGGTCAGCAACATCGGCCGCAAGGACTACCTGGCTCACAGCTCCATGGACTTCTAAGCCATCTGTCACCCCTTGTCTCCAAGAGGCCTCCATCTCCAGCAACTTCCTATACACACACCAGCCCCTTGGACAAAAGCCAGCATCCTCAGCCCAGCTGGCCTGGGCTGGGCCAGGCTGGGCCTGGCTGCCTACTCCCTGTGTCCCCCAGAATTACTATTTTTTGGTCCCCTTTACCCTAGCTGTCATTAAAGCACAAGCCCGTCTGGTCTCAGCCCAGCCCTGCTTCTGTGTTTCATCTTACCTGACCCCAGCTTCCTGGGCAGGCCTCACCCTCTGACTTCCAAAGCCCCTCTGTGGCAGGAAATCGGCATCTGCCAGCACTCAGCCAGCCTGCTGGTTGTTAGCTGTGGAAGGAGCCATGTAGCTGGGGTCCCCTTCTGGGGGCTCTGGGTATCTCCTCCGGGCTAGCTGGACTTGTGACTCAAGCAGAGACCGCATTGGTGGGCTGCCAGAGTCCAGCTCTGGCTGGTCCAGGGGTCCCTGAAGGATAGACGGTGTCGGTAAGGGAGGGATGAGAGAGGCACAAGATTCTTTCTGGTCACCAGCCAAGCCTCTCCGCACTGAGACTCAACTTTATTTTCTGATTTAGTATTTGGGGGATGGCACAAAAGTGGCATTCTGATGATAGATTTTTTTGATCAGTAGAAACTTACCAGAACATTGATATGCATAGGTGTATGGGGAACAACCCAGAAGTGGCATTCTGATGATAAATTCTTTGATCAGTAAAAATTCTCCAGAACATTGATATGCATAACATTATTATGATTTAGATAAGGATACTCACGCTTATCATATGGGGAAGGAAGGTATCTTTAACATTCAAATACAAACAGGATGTTTTTAGCATAGTAAAGGCAAAAGTTTGTGCTTTGTGAGCAGGGGTCAATAGCCTGTTTATCGTTTAAGGGGAAGTATTAATAAATATATATATATATAAATATATATATAAATAAAAATTAATAAAAACAGGTTTTTCAGGAAATGCAATGTTTGCTCCCATAACCACAAAAGAAAACATCTAAACAGCCACAGGGCTTATAGTTCCTATAATGTCATCCATGCCTAGGAATAGTACATCAGTCTGTACCAAGGTCATTATTTTATTTAAATCCGAAAGCAATAGCTGACCTTTTCGTGTCATCGATTACTCAGTCCTGATCACTATTTCCAGATTACTAAGCATCAACGTTTTTCCAAGCTACAACTTCCTTCACAAGGTGCAATCAGCATAACAAGGCCGGAATAAATCACTCCCAATCAACAACGTGCCTTGGGGGTCAGTGCTCAAGCAGAGACAATTGAGTGGGGTGGATATCAGTCACCATCTGATGGTAAGAGTCCATGCAAACTTACCTTAACCTCACAACTAGTGAGTTCAGAAATGTCTCCCAACAGTGGGCCAAGGGGAAATGGTTGGGTTTTCTGGTCTCTGGTTGGCTCTTACAATCTCCAGCCTTGCCCTAGCCTCCCTCTTCCTGTCAGTTGTATGAGGCTCCTGGGGCCCCTTGGGAGGCCACTTCCTGCCTCAGGCCCCCTGCCCACTTGCCGGCCCACACAGGCTCCCAGTAGAGAACACTCTGTTCCCCTCACTGAGGTGATAAGCAGATGCCACAAGACTGCTCTTCAGGCCACTAGCACTCACCTCACTCTGTGCCCTGCTCTCTGTTGGGCTCAGGATCCAGGCAATCCAGACAGACGCCTGCTGGGAAGCTCCTAGGTAAGTGGGAGGGGCAGATATGAATAACAGGGTGGCGGTCAGGAGACTGCTGCCAAATGGAACAGGATTTCAGCATCTGGCAAGGGGCAGGCAGAGGAAGAGCACTAGCAACGATTTCTCTGTGCCCAGCACTTCATGTGCAAGACCACATGCTTATCCCAGCAGGACAGCAGTTGCTCAAGCCATGTTTGTCACTTGGTGTTTGGTTTGGGGCAAGTTACCTAATGTTTCAATTTCCTCATCATTGAAATGGCAATGAGAATGCAAAGGACATGGTGTCAGGCTGCTGGAGCTCAGGGCTGCCAGGGCAGCACTGGACACAAAGCCAGGTGGAGAGACTCTTGGAAAGATTTCTGGCTGCACCCCATACGTGATCCCAAATGGTATTGCTCAGCCTGGTTACCCATTCCTTCCTAAAAGTGGCATTGAATGAGTGACATGAGGTTGTCCTCAAAATTCAGACACACACTCAGAGCCCTGATACTAGTCTCTGGCAAAGTGGGGCAAAAAAAAAAAAAAAAAAGGTGCCCAGCAAGAAGCAAAGTTTAAAAAAGAACATGTGAACTCTCCAGGGGCCTGCTGGGGCATGCTGCCCACACTCACATGACCAGATCCTGCCTTGAGGACTGGGCTTCACTGGTGCTCAGACAGCATGGGGGTCAAGGGGGGCCTCCCAGGGGAAGAGGCACCCCAGTGCTGGAGTGGCAAGTGGTAGGGGGTTTCCTGGAGACACTGGGCTGAAGGGAGGTAGAGGCCAGAACACAGCACCTTGAGTGCTGGGCTGAGGAGCTGAGGCTAGACCCAAGGGCAGGGGGAAACCAGGAAAGGCTTGGGAAGGGAAGAGACAGGTTGGTTTAGGGTCAGTAGAAAGGACCACAGTGGGCCCTATGGGACAATGATTCAAAGGGGAAATGTGAGGCTGGCAATGGACACGGGCTGTGAAGACAGAGAGGAGCAAGCGAATATTAGAAATATTTCCAAGATAAAGACAAGCAGGGTGGCGGGGGGTGGGGGGTGGGGGGCGCCTGGGTGGCTCAGTTGCTTAAGTGTCTGACTTCAGCTCAGGTCATGATCTCACAGTTGGTGAATTCAAGTCCCCCATCAGGCTCCGTGCTGACAGCTCAGAGGCTGGACCCTGCTTCAGATTCTGTGTCTCCCTCTCTCTCTGCCCCTCCCCTGCTTGCACTCTATCTCTCTCAAAAATAAACATTAAAAAAAAAACTTAAAAGAAAAAAAAAAAGGCAAGCAGAGTGGGACTGAGAGAGCACCAACCAGGGCTCAAGAGTGGGAAAGCAGGGAGTTGGCCAGTCTGGCTAGAGGGGTGTCCCGGGGCAGGGCTGTGGGAATGTCAGGTGCTGGAGTATACAACTGCCTGCACGGAGGAGAGGTTGGAGCTTATGACTCACAGCCAGCTGATCCAGGTGCAGACATAGGTCATTTGCTGTCCAGTGGTCCGAGGCCCCTGCCAGGCACACGTGGGCACCTTAGACCAACTGAACCCCAAGGGAGAAATATAGGATGTCCCCACCCACTATTCCTAGCTCTTTTACTGAAGACAGGCTCCCCTCCCCCAGGCCCTGCAGCTGCCTCTCTGGACAGAGGGAGGGGGAAGTGGCCAGAAGGGGAAGTGTGAGGAGTTCCCCTCTGGCCTGTCACCAGTCTCCTCGGGCCCTCGGAGTGGCAGCCGTGGGGCCTGGCTGCGGCCATGGAGCCTCTGGAGACTCCCATCAAGGACGGCATCCTCTACCAGCAGCACGTCAAGTTCGGAAAGGTGGGGACCCTGGCTGGCAGGCAGCTGCCCAGGACAGTAGGCTTATGCCCCAGCCTCAGCCTACCAGGACCTGGGAGAATGGGGAAGGGAGTCAGGGTGGGGGACCCAACCAAGGTGTTGGGGAGTAGAACAGAACCCCATTCTCAGCTTGAGTGGGTTGGGCTGAGTGGGTCTTTTTGACAGTCTGCCTTGTTTACGGATGGGGAAGCCAAGAGTGAGGAGGGTCTAAGACTCCAAACCTTGGGGCAGGGCAGAGCTGCGAGGCTAGCTAACCCAACAGCCTTCCGCCCCGGGTAGTAGAGGCACTGAGGCCCCTTGAGAGAAGGTGGGGGAGGGGGGGGGTGCTGAGCTGGAGGAGCCCCACCCTGTAGAAGAGGACTCAGCTCCTCCCAGCTCTGTTATGGGACATAGCAGGGTAGTTCACCTTTCTCCCCAGGCAGCAGGCCCTGCACCCTCACAGCTCAGCTGCAGCTGCTGCCCAGGCAGATAAACAGTCTGTTTCCTTTGCTTTACGCTATTTGCATGTTTCCTTTCTTGCCATCATGAGACTGAGGCCTTCCTCCTGCCCCAGCCCTTATCCCCCTGGCCCAAGTGACCTTTTCTTTGGGTGTTAGGGGTACCAACATAATGGTAGTGTCAGGTGATCTGCTTAGCTATTAGATACTTCTGAGACATGATCCAGTAGAAGCCTCAACCTTGTGTTCTCATAACTTTTTGAGATACGAGGGCACTAGTGCCCAGGGAGTTCACAGGCAATTTGTGGGGTGGATTTGAGCCCATACCTGACTGCCCCCAAGCACAGACATCCCCCTGCTGGGCTGGCCCTGGCAAGGCCTCCTCTTCTGGGGCGCTGAGGATCTAGGGGAAGCAGAGGCTGGCCTGAGTGTCCAGGAGCATTTGCTAAGCAGCTTGTGCTGAGCTGAGCTACTGGGAGAACCACCACCCAACGGTCTGATCCCCCATCCTCATCTCCCACAGAAGTCCTGGCGGAAGGTATGGGGTCTGCTGTATGCAGGAGGCCCATCAGGTGTGGCACGGCTGGAGAGCTGGGAGATCCGGGATGGTGGCCTGGGGCCAGGAGGTGACAGGTCTGCGGGACCTGGCCGGCGTGGGGAACGGCGGGTCATCCGCCTTGCTGACTGCGTGTCTGTGCTGCCTGCTGACGGTGAGAACTGCCCCAGAGACACTGGTGCCTTCCTGCTCACCACCACAGAGCGAAGTCACCTACTGGCCGCACAGCATCGCCAGGAGTGGATGGGCCCCATCTGTCAGCTGGCCTTCCAGGTGAGCATAAGGCGGGTGGGCAGAGCATCCAGAGGCCAGGGGTGGACCACCTGACCCCCATCTCCATGCTCATTCACATCCTATCACTCGGCAAGTCCCTGCCAGAACCCATGAGCCTAAGGAAGTAGCCCAGAAGCCCACAGAATGAATCTCTGCTGGCCATACATGCTATGGAGAACATGGAAGCCCGGGTAGGACCAGGGGTCAATGGTGGGACATTAGATGGGAAGGTCTCTCAGGAAGGGACAGTGAGCCTGAGTCCTCAGAGACAAATAAGAACCCACCAGGCAAAGATCTGAGGGAAGAGCGATCTAGACACTAAGGTCTAAGTGTCCTGAACAGAGGGAGCAGCATGGGCAAAGGCCCTGAGACAGGGAAAAGTTTGCTGTGTTAAAAGGGCAGAAAGGCCACGGGGCGCCTGGGTGGCTTAGTCGGTTAAGCGTCCGACTTTCACTTAGGTCATGATCTCGCGGTTCGTGCGTTCGAGCCCCGCGTCGGGCTCTGTAATGACTGCCAGCTCAGAGCCTGGAGACTATTTCAGAGTCTGTGTCTCCCTCTCTCTCTGACCCTCCCCTGCTCATGCTGTCTCTCTCTCCTAGAAATAAATAAAAATATTAAAAAAAAAAAAAAAAGGGCAGAAAGGCCAGCGTGGCTGGAGGGTAAGGAATGGGAGGCAACCCCAGGAGGGTGCAAAACTGGAGACTATGGTGGGAGCCCACTGAAACTACTTTAGGCCACATGCAGAGTCTGGGGCTTTATCGTGAGTGAGAGGAGAAGCCTTTGGGGGCGGGGGAGAGTCTTTGGGGAGCCACGGACTGAGAGCTTTAAAGGTTCACAGGGTCTGTGATGGACCAAAAGGAAATGAGCCTGGCGGTTCCTCAAAAAGTTAAACATAGAGTTGCCATATGACCCAGCAATTCCACTAGTAAGTGTATACCCAAGAGAATTGAAACAGGTGTTCAAATATCACTTGTAAGAGAAAACTCAGAGCAGTGTTATTCACAACTAAGGCGCAGACAATCCAATGTCTGTTAACCAATGAATGGATAAACCAAATGTAGTCCATCCATACAACAGAATGTTTCCTGGCCATATAAAAAATAATGAGGTACAGATACATGCTAACACCATAAATGAACCTAGAGAACATCATGCTAAGTAAAAGGAGCCAAACACAAAAGACCACATATTAGTATGATCCGATTCATGTGAAACACCAAGAATAGGTAAATCCGTAGGGACTGACAGCATATTAGTTGTTGCCAGAGGCTTGCGGGAAAGGCAACTGGAGAGTGACTGCTTATGGGTACTGGGTTTCCATTTGGAAACAAATTCTGGAACTAGATAAAGATGATCCTTGCACAGTCTTGTGACTATACCCAAACCACTCAATTATACACTTTAAAATGTGAAATGATAAATTTTATGTTGTATATTTCACCACAATATTTTAAATTAAAACAAACAAATGAAGGGGCACCTGGGTGGCTCAGTCGGTTAAGTGTACAACTTTGGCTCAGGTCATGATCTCACAGTCTATAGGTTCGAACCCCTCATCGGGCTCTGTGCTGACAGCTAGCTCAGAGCCTGGAGTCTGCTTCAGATTCTGGATCTCCCTCTCTCTTCAGATTCTGGGTCTCCCTCTCTCTCTGCCCCTCACCCACTTGCTCTCTGTCTCTGACTCTCAAAATAAAATAAAGACATAAAAATTTTTAAAAAAGAAACAAAAAAACAGGGGCGCCTGGGTGGCTTAGTTGGTTAAGCGTCAGGCTTCAGCTCAGGTCATGATTTCGCGGTTGGTGGGTTCAAGCCCTGTTTTGGGCTCTGTGCTGACAGCTCAGAACCTAGAGCCTGTTTCAGATTCTGTGTCTCCCTCTCTCTCTCTGACCCTCCCCTGCTCGTGCTGTCTCTCTCTCTCAGAAATAAATTAAAAAAAAATTTTTTTTAAATGAAGAAAATGAACAGGAGCAAGAAGACCAGTAACGAAGCTGTTGCATGTGACCCTGGCATGCTACTGTGGGCCAAGGCGGTTGTGGAGGAGGTGCTGATGGTCGGAGCTCAGGAATTGATGGGATGAGGGGTTGGGAGGGGGAGGGGGAGAAAGAGGCCTTGGGGAGGACCTCATAGCCAGTTCGCTCGTGTGTCCCATCCCTGAAGCTCCTGCCCTTTCGTCATTCCAAGCTGTTAGGGACACATACAGGCAGGTGCAGGTGCAGTGGGGACATCCTCTTGTGTGCCACTACTTTACAGCTCTCAGCACCCTCAAGGGGGAGCCTTGGAGTTGCAGGTGGGAAAATAGAGGGGTGCCCAGGGTCATGCAGTGTATCAGGGGCAAAGCCGGAAGTGGCACCCAAGTCCCTAGTTGCTCTTGCTTGTCCTGGTGTCTGGTTTATTGACCCCAGGGAAAGGATGTGGGAAAAGGAGTGGGGGTGACGGCTCTAACTTCTGATCTTCTTTCATTCCCTAGGGCACAGGAGAATATTCCTCAGGATCAGGGGAGGTAGAGGCTCCCAAGAGGGGCCTGGTCCCCATGGAGGAGAATTCCATCTACTCCTCCTGGCAGAAGGGTGAGTCAGGGAGGTGCAGGTGCAGCCTCAGCCATCCTATACCCGGGGCTGGGACCTCTGGGGGACCTATATGGGCTGTACCTGATGCCCTTACCACTGTCCTGCCTGCAGAGGGCGAGTTTCCAGTAGTGGTGCAGAGGACCGAGGCTGCCACCCGCTGCCAGCTGAAGGGGCCCTACCTCCTGGCGCTAGGCCAAGACGCCATCCAGCTAAGGGAGCCCTCCAGCCCCCAGGCCCTCTACACCTGGCCCTACCGCTTCCTGCGCAAGTTTGGCTCTGACAAGGTGAGGTGCTGGGCAGCCACCCAACCCCACTGGCCCTGCTGGGAAGGGTGGCAGGTGAAGGGGTGCCCGGGTCCCTCCACCTCTAATCCGCCCAAACCACCCCCTCCCCCCTGTCCAGGGCGTGTTCTCCTTTGAAGCTGGCCGCCGCTGTGACTCTGGCGAGGGCCTCTTCGCCTTCAGCAGCCCCCAAGCCCTCGACCTGTGCAGGGCTGTGGCTGCTGCCATCGGACGCCAGCGGGAGCGGCTCCCAGAGCTGGCTGGGTCCCCGCCTTGTCCCCTGCCTCGGGCCACCTCCCTGCCTTCACTGGATCCACCAGGAGAGCTGCGTGAGGTGCCCCCGGGGCCCGAGCCACCCAGCTCTCGCAGGGCACGCCTGGCTGAGCCCGGGCCCCAGAGCCTGCCCCTGCTGCTGAGCCCTGCACCCTACGATGAGCCAGCGCCTGGGATCTATGCATCAGTGTGCAAGCGGGCCAGTGTGCCCCCAGGCAATGCCGAGCACCTCTATGAGAACCTGTGCATGCTGGAGGCAGGTCCCGTGCTGCCCAGGGATAGGGACTCGGAGCAGGAGGGTCCCAGCCGCCGTAGCCCGCTGGCCAGTCCCATCTATCATAACAGTGAGGACTTGAGCTGGCCTAGCCCTGCCCACGACAGCAGCCTGGAGGCCCAGTACCGGCGACTGCTGGAACTGGAGCTAGGTGACAGTGATGAAGTGGGCAGCTCTGGCCGCCCCAGTGCTCACTCAGGCTTCAAGGCCAAGCTGGTGACGCTGCTGAGCCGCGAGCGGAGGAAGGGCCCAGCCCCCTGCGACCGGCCCTGAAAGCCTTGCATGGCTTTGCAACAGGAGAGAAAGGTGCTGTGCTCTCCCTGGGCCAGGAAGACAGGCAAACAATGGACATCTGGGACACACATGTGCATCCACTCTGGCCTGCGGATATAAGGCAGGCAGGTTGGGGAGCACCCCCTTATGTGCCCTGTGAGCCCCCCCACCAGTGTACAGTGTACAGATTTGCTGGTAATAAAACCTCCCAGCTCTGCTCCTGGTCCTACTTGTAGCACACAGTACATACTCCTCCCTTCAGCTCCTGGCAACTGCACTCACTGATCCACATGGACACACAGCCCCTCACTCATGTGTACTACAGCAAACACCAGTGCCCTGTACTGGGCTCTGGGGACACACATAAGCTGGACTTAACCTCTGAGACCCGTGGGCTCAAGTCCACTCGAGCAGATGGGTGGGGTGCAGATCATTATGGCCCGTGTAGTCCTAGGCAATAAAAATGACTGGGACAATCAATGGACGAATGGATCAAGAAGATGTGGTTTATCTATACCATGGAATACTACATGGCAATGAGAAAGAATGAAATCTGGCCAAGTGTAGCAACATGGATGGAACTTGAGGGTGTTATGCTGAGCGAAATAAGTCAGGCAGAGAAGGACAAATATATGTTTGCATGTATAAGAGGATTAGGAGGAACTTAACTGAGGAACAAGGGGGAGAAGGAGGGGGGTGGTGGGAGAAAGGGAAAGAGGCAAACCGTGAGAGACTCTTGAATGCTGACAAAAACTGAGGACTGATGGATGTTGGGGGGGGGAGGGATGGGCATGGAGGAGGGCACTTGTGGGGATGAGCACTGGGTGTTATGTGGAAACTAATTTGACAATAAACTATTTGTAAAAAAAAAAAAAATGACTGGGACATTAGGGCAGGAGAAATTGGGCTTGCCGATGGGTGAGGTGCCCTCTGAATTAAGAGTGAAGGGCAGGCAGAGCCTTACCAGATGGGCAGCGAGCCCCAGGGCTTTCCAGGCCCTGAGATGAAGGGAAAAGAATGGTCACAGATGGCACCAAGAGGCTGACAGGGAGTTGGTGGCCAAGCAGGAGAGGCCCGACCACCCTGCAATGAGCTTGGTCTCATCTTCAGCAGAGAGACAGATTAAGGAAGGAGCAGTGTGGAAAACAAATTTGAGGGAGCCTAACTGGAGGCCAAGAAGCCTGAGCTGGGGAGGAAGTAAGGGAGGAGGATGGGGGAAAGGGGCTTCAAAGATCTGCACAACCAGAACGCCTGCTTCCCATTGAAATTTAAAAATGTGCAGACACTTCTGGGGAAACTTGGGCCTGTCTCCTCAGCTGTCAAGGACAGCGTTTAAATTACCAATCAGGCATGCATTCCTTCCTTACAGTTTCACAACGTGCCTATTCTATGCCAGGCACTGGGGACACAGCCATGTTCAAGGCAGTGAGGTCCTGTTCTCAAGAAGCCCACATTCTATAGGGAGATCAGCAAACCTCTTGAAGACTTTAGTGTTCTCATGCTACTCTGGTCACTATCCCTGGGGCCCCCATGAACAAAAGCATCATGCCCCCAAAGAACCTGGCTCCCCAGCCCCTTGACCTCAATTCTCCCTCGCTGCCCATGCCCTTAGCGCCTTAGCACATCCTGAACTTCTTCTTATGACATTGATGCTCCCTCCCTTATGCTTCATGACACTGATCTTGTTTCCAAGCATCCACCTCTGGCCACCTTCTTTTCTCCTTCCAGCCCACTTCCTCTAGCATGGCCCATAAAGCTCCTCTCCACCCACATTGACCTACATGACCCTTTCCTCACCATCTGTGCAGTCGCTGTCCACATTCTTGTCCAACTTAGATTCTGTGCTCCACCAATGGAGCGACCCCTTGTGCTCCTCTCTCCTTCCATCGTATTTGTCTGGCAAAGCACCCAGCCTCAGATGAACCCAATTCCCCTCTGTGCCTGCACCCTGGCAGCTGCCCATGGCCATGGAAACTACGTAACCAGGCTGACCACATTCTCTCATGTTGTGATCTCAAAGCTCAGATAGACAGGCTTTCCAGAGAGATGCTTTCCTCCTCCAAGACCTTCCTACCTTCTCCTCTCCATCCCTACCCATTCTCATCTCAAAGATATCCTGAAGAAACAGCAGCTCACAGAAGTGAATGCCCTTGCCCTTCCACCACTTCATCGACAAGGACACTGCCAGCTGCACCATGTCCCTCCACCCTTGCAATGGAAGAAATGTCTGTTCCCCAACCCGCAGTCCAACCCCAGCTCCTCTTACCTCACAGCTCGGCACACTGAGCTGTCCCCTCTCTTCAGCCCAGTGAATTCCACCACCATCATCATAATTCCAGTCACATGTAAACATGCTCCATAATTTCACATCTTTAAAGGAAACCTTTGGGGGCGCCTGGGTGGCTCAGTTGGTTGAGCAATGATTTCAGCTCCAGGTCATGATCTCATGGTTAGTGAGGGTCCGTGCTGACAGTGCAGAGCCTGCTTGGGATTCTCTCTCTCTCCCTCCCTCCCTCCCTCTCTCTCTCTGTTCCTCCCCTGCTTGTGCTCTCTCTCTCAATAAATAAACTTCAAAAAGTAAATAAAAATAAAGGAAACCTTTGACCTCACATTCTTTTTTTTTTTTTAATGTTTTTATTTACTTATCTTTGAGAGAGTGTGTGCATAAGCCAGGGAGGGGCAGAGAGAGAGGAGGGGAGACAGAATCTGAAGCAGGCTCCAGGCTCTGAGCTGTCAGCACAGAGCCTGACACGGGGCGCAAATCCAAAAGCTGTGAAATCATGACCTGAGCCAAAATCATGGCCTCAAATGACTGAGCCACCCAGGCACCCCTTGACCTTGCATTCTGTTTCAGACACCTCCCCATTCCCTTTTCCTCTTCACAGCGAAACTCCTCAAAAGAGTTGTTGATTACTTTCATTTCCACTTTCTCCTATTCTCCCTTTTACCAACTCAAGTCTCCCTGTGGTGCCCCCTGCTCCATTACATCGCTCTTATCAGGGTCACCCACTTCCTTGTTCCCCAAAACAAAAGCAACCTGGCCTCCCTGACGACTCAGCAGTAGCTGACACTTCACTTGGTCTTCCTCCCTCCTCACAAATCTCTCCTTCCCAGCCTCTGTTGGCCATCTTCTGCCACACTTCGGCCTGGGCTCTGGCCTCAGACACAGTGTAGCTCAACTCTGGCTGCACACAGAATCGCCTAGCCTTTTTATTTTATTTTTTATTTTTTAAATATTTATTTATTTTTGAGAGAGAGGGAGGGAGAGAGCGTGCACAAGCAGAGGAGAGTCAGAAGGAGAGGGAGAGAGGGAATATCACACAGGCTCCACATTGTCAGCACAGAGCCTGATGCAGGGCTCATGAAATCATGAACTATGAGATCATGACCTGAGCTGAAATCAAAGGTCAGATGCTTAACCGACTGAGCCACACAAGTGCCCACCTGGAGCCTTTTTAAAAATGCCCATGGGCGCATGAGTGGCTCAGTCGGTTGAGCGTCCGACTTCAGCTCAGGTCATGATCTCGCGGTTCGTGGGTTGAGCCCCACGTCGGGCCCCGTGCTGACAGCTAGCTCAGAGCCTGGAGACTGTTTCAGATTCTGTGTCTCCCTCTCTCTCTGACCCTCCCCTACTTACACTGTCTCTCTCTCTCTCTGAAATAAATAAAACATTAAAAAATAAAAATAAAAATAAATGCCCATGCCTGGGTCTGCACCCAGGACCTGAGATTCCGTTATTCTGTGTGGGGCCTGTCTGTCTGTTTTTTCAATTTCCCAGGTGATTTCAGTGTGAGTCCAAGGTGGAGAACCACTGCCCTAAGTGAGCCAATTCTGTCTCCCAGTCTCAAAGACCATCTAAGTGCTTTTGATTCCCAAAGATACAATTTCAGCACAGACCTGTCACCCTTAGCAACAGATTTAAGAATCCAGCTGCACACTAGACTTCCGGATGTCTGAAGGCATCTCCAAACACAGTGTGTGAAAAGAGGTTGTGGGCAGGGGGTTGTGTGCAGTGCTGGCCACAGAGAGAAAAGTCTGGAAGGACATTGAAATCATGGGGAGATAGATTTCTTCCCCACTTACGGAAGCTCCTCCTGTGACTTTACCCATGACAGGGAAAGTCTTCCGATGATCGATCGGGCTGCCTGCCATCGAGCAAGCTGAAGCCAGGGGGATCCCCAGTCACTCTGGCTACAGCAGGGACCCCCTCCACCCCTCGGTGACAAGCCAGCCCATGACAGCTCAGCAAGTCCCAGGACACACTGGGGGTTACCCAAAGAATTAGGGTGATGGCCAGAACTGGAAGCCAGGACTCTGGGTCTCTGTTCTGGCATGCTTTTTCATTACAAATCTAAGCCTCTTTGCTTTATGGCAAAAAGAGTTTTTGTGAGGTCCCAACCAGTCTATGAAAGAGAACGTCTTTGCAGATCTCCAGGATTCTAGAGCCTCACCCCAGACCTGCAGGCATCCTGGACACTAGGGGGCACTGTGTCCTTGCCTGGAGCCTGTTCCTCCCCTTCGGCTCCCAATGCAGGGAACACTGGTGGCTCCATCCAGGTCTGAGCCTTGCACAATCCAAAGAATGGGACCCTGGAGTCCTCTGCTAGAGGACTGCCAGGACCCCCAGACTGCCGCTTCTTCCTTTACTCATTTGCTGTTTCACTTTCTCAATCCTTCTTTCATCTATTCATTCGCATCCACTGTGTACAGGCACTGGGGAAATGGTGGACAGGACAGACAAGTCTAATGAGACTGACATTCTAATGGGGACAAAGGGCAATGAAGAAACAAGCACCTAATATAATGTGAGATGGTAGTAAGTAATACAGGGAAAAATAAAGCAGGGTAAGGCACTAAGTGCCCGATGCAGGTGAGGTGTCAGGGGGTTATTGTTTTAGATAGGGAGATCAGGGAAGGCCCTTTGGAGGTGGCAACAGCTGAGCAGAGACCTGAACAAAGTGAGAGAGCCGGTTGTTTAGATATCAGGGGAAACTGTTGCAAGGAGAAGGAGCTACAAGTGCAAATTCCCTGAGGCAAGAATATGCTTGATGTGTTAGAGGAACAGTGAGGAGGCCAATGTGCCTGGAGTGAGCAAGGAGGAGAGTGGTGGGAAGGAGACTGAGCTTATTAATTAATGCCATGTACATCTTAAGGACCTTAGCGTTATTTCAAGTGCAACAAGAGCCTACTGGAATGCTAAAAGTCGAAGGTGATGTGGTGTGATT